TCTGATTCTTCCCATTACTATCTTCCCCAGAGGTCTGTTTTCCTTCCAGTTTGTTGCTTCAACATTAATGTAAGAGGGTTGCTGCAAAACCCACCACAGGAATAGGAGTGGTATACTAGTGTTTGACAGAGTTGATGCGCATACTACATACATGCAGTCATAATGGAAAATGCCCAGTTTTACGTGTGGCTGTCTGTGACTGTGTATTTGGGGAGATGATATCAGTTAAATGAACACAATAAGTTTGAAGAATACCCCTTCTGTCTAATAGTCATCTAAAATTGGCTTGTGCCCAATGATCTAGAGATAGTCTAACCTTGGAGAACTTTGTTAAACCTCATCCATCAGATGATTAAGATTTTGTGCTTTAAAATCTCCTCCACTCATCATCAAATCCTTTGTGACCGTCAATATCTAGGATGGTGAGCCCTCAGGGCACATAACCTTAATTTCCCTAGTAGTGCAAAGGTTGAATCACATAAACGCGTCATGAACTATGATAGGGCAACCAAAATCTCATATTAAAAGGGTTTCTTCACACGTCTTGTAACCACAAGTTATCATCTCTTACTTCTACACTCTTAATCCTTAATTTATCGACATTCCTAGCCTCATTATCTCCCATGATCTCAAATGGAGGGCTCCATTATAAAGCTACCTCTAAAAGGGTCAAGCTTCCCTTTTTTGTACCGTAATGCTTCTTTTACCCTGACGAATGTATGAACGTCAAATCTGTCAAAGGATACCGCTCCCATTCCTGTGGTAGGTCTTGTGGCAACCCTCTTGCATCCCTGGACAGTTTATAGGAAAAAGTTCACTGCCAAATAGGCCTTCCTGTCAACTATGGTTTTTGATCTCTGCCCCAATAGTAACCTTTCCAGCTTTCTTCTAGTACGTCAATAGTACTGTTCATATCACCTAAACCCCTTGGACTCGGAAACGTGTTACTTACTTTCAGTGTGTAAATAACAGTGCACCTTCCTCTAGTCATAAAATGTAACCTGGCCCAATTATACTGTCCCATTCCCAGCTGCTGACAGCTGGATAATGAATATGTTTACTGTTGCCTTTACATGATTACAATATCTGAAATAGTTAACTTTTTTGTGGTATTAACTTAAACTAGAATCAGAAATGTACCCCAAGGGCAAACGGTAGCTTCCACTTGTTCAATTATACATTCATACAATTATTTTGCATTCATGAACAGATCCTCAAAATGTTTTTTGATTTTCCATCGGCTTTGTATTGTCTGCAAATTGCATATACTGTCAGAAGCATTTCTCAGCTTCCCTTTTATCTATGCAGTAGAAGTGGTTACAGGTTAGTAATGCGTGTATTATTATCGTTTATATGGGGAACAAGACTGCAACAGAGCATTTGAAACAGAAAGGGGAGGCTTTGGATGTTATCTCTGAATATTGAAAAGATTTGAGTTTTTCACAAAAACAACTTTCATAAAAACTGCGCCAGAAAGAGGTCGGAAGGCAAGCTTATGAAGTGGAATTACAGACGGGTATAAAACGGAAAGAACATTCCAAGACTTATAACATCTGGTTTACATGTTTGATTTTGTGGCAGAAATGCTCTTGCAATTCAGAGTTGAAAATCATTGCTGCCGCTGATGGTTAGCGACTTTCGGGAAGCTGGAACTTTCACCATTTAGTAGGTTACAGAATAAAGCAAAATCAAAACATCAAAATAAAGCCCATTTCTCAAGTATTCAACGTAGCTCCCAAACTCCCGAGAAATTTTTCAAACATTACTGACCACAAATTTCAAAGACTACATTAATATCAGGTGTAATTTTATGCAGGTGTTGAATTCTCTATACTATATACATTTTTTTTTAATTGTAGTCAAAGAATAGGAGAGCAATAGGAATGAATGAACGGACAAAGTGCAGTTTCACTAGTTAAATTTGTGTTTCACAAAGCAAAATTAGGCCCTGTAAGCACACCCAACTTTTCAAACTTTTCCCATACTACTCCAAAATTGCCAGCATTTACCTTTAGATTCCGTCATTAACAATACGAGAGCAAAAATCTAAGCTGCAAGGCAAATGTACAGGCCTGGCTATAAAAATACAGTTTCAAGATGCGTGTGACCCCGAACTAAAGATTTTACTGTTTACTTTCTAAAATGGTGCATCTGGAACTACTGAAATGTTGGTTAAATTAGATAATTTTAAGAATTCAAAGCCATCCAGGCTCAAGTATTTAACTTGGCAAAGTGCACAGTAATGAACTAATTGCCCCCTGGCATTGTTCTTGACACACAATACCATCAGTGGATCACCTAAGGACTCGGTTAGGGAAGGATTCCTGAAGTAGTATGTCATTTCTACGATTCTTGAAATGAACATATTATGGCTTTTTCTGAAAACAGTGGCTCCCTGGTCCATAATTTTTCCTTTGAAACCACATTACTTCCCAGCCTTTGAAACAAAAACTTAATAATGGCAAAACTCATTCAGGGACATTTGCTCTCCAAAAATGTCTTCCTCTCCAAGATATGTTGTCTCCCCAGTGCCATAGATAATAAATATTACACCCCTCGAAAAATCAGATCCTTATTTGTTCTTAAAAGAGCCACAACACCCAAGCCTCTGCATTATGGAGGATATGGGTCTAATCAACATAAATAAAATAACCCTAATTATTCAGACAAGGTAATGCAGTACACAAGGCACCCAAAGTCTCAATTAGTCACTTCCACACTGCCACTCTCTGAGCCTTATCCTTTCAAATATAGAAATAATTCCTTTTTTTTAAAAAAATTGTTGAAACAATGTGAACAATTTAGATTGCTCAAAGCATTAACGGTAAATTCCAATCCTTACAAACACACCTTCCCATCAAAGTGACAAGAGGATAATACTGCTGACAATGAACACACCTTTGCACCCTCTGGTGTTCTAATGCATTCCACTCTCTAATAATGTTTGCATTTGATATAGCGCCTTATCGGGTCTTCTAGACGTCTCAAAGCATTTCACAAACTATACTGTAAAGTGAATTGACTGCATATTTTGTGGGACAAAACTCACAGGAGAAAGTTCAGAGCAAGACTGACAATTACCACTGTAATAAAACATAGGGAAGAGTGGAAGTGAGGGGGAAGCAGGAGGAGATAGGTGACCAAAGGCCCAGAGATGGCTTTTAGAAGGGTTTTAAAAGTAAGAGAGAGTGAGTGCGAACTGGAGGGGTTGTGGGAGAGTTCCACAGATCATGGGAAAGTATCTGAAAACTCAGTCACCAATGGTGTGCTGACTCGAACGGGGTGGAGAAACGTACAACATGCTAAGTTAATAGATCGTAAGGTGTGGGACTAGTTTTAATATAAATTGAAATTAGCTCCAATTGATTCTTAGTAGGTTATTACATGTCAGTTGAAAAGCAATATTCTTTTGACAGGATGCTCATTACACCCCATACATTTTACAGAGCTCCCTGAACATGTATGGATTGAAGAAATGTTTGCTTTTGCACAGAAGGGTTCCGGGGAAGAGGCTGGTGCTGAACTTCTAGAACTACAACACCGTCTGTTTACACTGTAACAGATTTCTTTTGTGAAGTAAAAGTCGCACCGAAGTTTTTCTTTCCTGCCAGGAAAGGAAAACTTTGGTGCGACTTTTACTTCACACACAAAAAAATACAACACACACACCACACACACAGAGTCTAAATGCCATTGAGGCTGATGACTTCAGAGACAATTGCATCCATGGAGAAAGAAAAACTAATCTCTTACAAATGCCACCATAGCCACCAAAGAGTGGAGGAGGGCATCATACACCAGGAAGCAAAAAGCTTTGAGGGAGGGAGAGGAGAAAGCAAATCTAGAACCTGATACCCTACCTTCTTTCTCTCTCTCTCCCCCCCCTCTCTCTCCTCCCCCCTCCCCACTCTCTCTCTCCTCCCCCCCTCTCTCTCCCCTCTCTCTCTCCTCCCCCTCTCTCCCCTCCCCCCTCCCACTCTCTTCCCTCCCCTCCTCCTCCTCCTCTCTCCCCCCCCTCTCTCTCCTCCCCTCTCTCTCTCCTCCCTCCCCCCCCCCCCCATCAGGTTGGCCTGAAAAGCCCGCTCGACGTCTTTTTCCAGGACGACGACAATTCGGTCCAGAACCACAAGGCTTCCCCAACTCGGCCCGAATCCCAAACGTGGACTCGCCCCCCCCCCCCCCCCCAACCCCGAAGCAGAGGGAAGGAAGTCAACCAAAATGGCGCTCCGCATCTAAAATATCATTTAACCGGAGGTCGCCATGTTGTCTATTTGCAAACAAGAGACAAAGTGGAGGAAGAGGAGAGAGGAGAGGGGGGGGGGGGGAGGAGAGAGGAGGGGGGGGAGGAAGGAGGGGGGGGAGAGAGGAAGGAGGGGGGGGGAGTATCGGCATCCGCCTGCGTGCAGGGAGGGAGGGAGAGAGAGAGAGTCTCTGGGTTTGTTCACAGCAGCAACAACCCCCTCTCCCCCTTCTCCTTCACCACAAAAACCCATCTGCAGGGCAGCACCACAAGCACCTGGAGCCCAAACCTGGGGGGGGGGGGGTTGTCAGGAGGCCGGGGCCGACCTCGCCTAGATCCCCGGGAGAGGTTAACCCCTCCCTTCCCTTCCCACCACCCTCCCCCCCCCCCCACTCACTCCCTTCCCGGGCTTCCGTTGAAGGCCAGCCCCAGGCTTTTGCGGCCCTCCTGGCTGAGCCCCGGCAGCCGCTGAACGAGGCAGAGAGGAGGAAGGCCTCCCCCCCCCCCAACAAAAAAAAACACACACACGCACACCAGCAGCAGCCGGATCCGAGCCCGTTCGCACCGGGGCCTTGGCTTTCCCCTGCGGGCGGCGGTGATGGCGACGGTGTGGGGGGGAAGGCCTGGGCATTGCCACCACCACCCCCCTCCCACCCACCACCACCCCAGCCGCACGGTCGGTTGGGAGCAATGCTCAGCGCCCAGGAGGAAGGCGTAGGGCCACACACACAGAGAGAGAGAGAGAGTGAGAGTGACTGACCAGCACTGGAGGTGGAAGGCTGCCGGACAGTGGTCGCAGCAGAGCAGGTCCCCGCCCTCCTTACAGCTGTCGCAGGTGTCGTGGTTGGTGGCCCGGCCGCTCCTGCGTGGCTCCTTCTCCAGCCTCCTGGCCTTCTTGTCGCTCTCGTCGCTCTTCGGGGGAGCCAGCAACGCTTGGATCTTCTGCAGACGGGGTGGGAGGGGGGGAGGGTTTGAGCGGGAGAGGGAGAAAGAGAGAGAGAGAGGCCTTGGCTTTAACACACACTAGAGAAGAGAGAGAGACCGCCACACAAGCCACGTTGAAGAGAAAGCCCCCCCCCCACACACACACACACACAGCTCATTCCTGACCCCCCCCCCCCACCCACCATTTAACAGCACATTCATCATTGTTGTTATTATTATTCATTCTGTTACGTCTTTTAACAATGCTTCGAGCCAGATTAAGATGGTTGTGCCACCCCTTCTCCCATCCCCACACCCCCCCCCCTCCCTTAGCTTCTTCCTATTGCAAAAATATATTTCATACATACACATATATATATAATACTACACGCGCCGAGGCTGAAACTCACCTCCATCAACCCTCCAGAGGTGTCCAAGTCGTACACAATCGTCTTGGTCTCCATTTTATCCCACATTCAAAACGCCGCCGCTTCCAGTCTCTCCTTTTCTTAAAAAAAACCTTCTCTTCCCTCCCTTCCCCACCTCTTCTCTCCTCCCTTTCTCTCTCTCTTTCTCTTTTTTCTTTTGCCTTGTTGCTTGTGGAGGGCTGGGATTTTTTTTTTGGGTGGGGGTGGGGAGGGGGGGGGAATGGTTGTTAACAATTTTTTTTCCAAATCAAACGTATATAAAGAAAGAGAAGAGGTGGCAAATCGTGTGGGGGGGGACTGTCAGTATTTATGGCTGCTGTCGTTCTTCACCCTCACCCCCCCACCAAAAAAAAATGCTTTCCTATATTGAGAGAGACAGCCAGACAGCAGCAGGTCCTGAAGCTTGCTCTGCTCTTCCTTTCCTTCTTCAGGGCTCGATCCTTTGGCGGAGCAGACGTACACACACACACACACACACGCGCTGCACTCTGAGAGAAATAATCCCTGGTTGAATTCCCAGACAAGCAGTGGAGGAGGAGGAGGAGGAGGGGGGGATTATGTATACAAACAAAAATCACCTTCAACCTCCTCTCTCTCTCTCATATATATATATATATATGTGTGTGTGTGTTGTGTGTCTCTCACAAGGGCCTTCCCCACCCGAGTCAGTCAGTCAGTCAGTCCGCAGCCGCTTTTACATTCACTGGGGTCCGGGGCAGCAGCAGCAGCAGCAATACCAGGCCTCGGCCTCGGCCACGGCCTAGCTGACACGGAGCCCTCCTCGAGCCGGCGTAACAAGAAGCCCGTCGAACCGCTCCGCTTCCATCCGTGCGAACAGGGAAACGGGCAGCTCCGGGGGGGGGGCGGCGGCGGCGGCGGCGGATGGGCTGAGGTGCGGTGAGGACGAGGAGGAGGAGAAGAAGACGGCGGCGGTGATGATGATGGCGGTGGTGGTGGTGATGATGGTGGTGGTGGCGCGGAACCGTTTCCCCGCCGGTGATACTCCTCCTTCACGCCGCAGGTCGCAGGCCCGGCGAGCAGAGGCGCTCGGTCCGACACGACGGTGCCCGAAGCAGACGCTGGAAGCCCCCGCCAGCCGTAAACACAAACCCCGCGGCCGCCGAGCTCTCGCCTCACATTTTTTTCTCCCCCCGCCTCCAACTTGGCGCAAACTTTCCACACACACATCACACGCACTGCGCAGGCGCCGCGACGCCGACACCGCCCGCCTCTCTCTCTCTCCCCCCCCCCCCGCGCGCGCCTTGACTCCGCGGCGCGCACGCGCACGGGAAGCCGGGCGGGTCACACCGAGCAGGCGCGAGCTCGGTTGCTCTCTTTTTTTTTTTCCCTCGCCCAACTGCGCACGCGCGAGGTGGGCGCAGGAGGAGGAGGTGGTGGTGGTGGTGGGGGGGGGGGGGCTGGAGAGCGGCTCCCACCGCGCAAGCGCGTGAGGTCACGATTCACCCGCCGCCGGGAGGGAGGGAGGGAGGGGGGAAGATCCTTTACTGCGCACGCGCGCTTTCTCGCTCGCGATCATGCGCGTGCGGCGTTAAGGCCGGTCCTACCGCTGCGCACGCGCGTGGGACTTTCTGCTCCCGATCTCACTGCGCAGGCGCCGCCCATCCGAACTCCTCCTCCTCGCGGGTCTGATGTCACCACGCGCCCGCGTAAGGCGAGTATTTTACCCTCGACCGAGCTTGGATGCGACCGAGCATGCGCGTCTCCTCGGCGACTATTGTGACCACCAGCGCCGCGGTTGCGTGCGTTGGTTTGTCCGCGCAGCGCCGCCTGGCGGCTGCGGTTCAGGGCGAGGGGCCGGCGGGGCCCACACAACGCCGCCTTACTGCGCAAGCGCCGCTCATCCCAACCCGCCAAGCGGCAGCCATCGCGGTCACGTGGCCCCGGGGCGTTTGCCGCGCGGGGGGCCTCTGGGACTTGTAGTTCACGGCGGGGCGTCGGGATCACCCACGTGATCGCGAGCAGATACTTTGTTGCGGCGCGGGCGCGGGGGGCGGGGCTGGGTGACGGAGGGGGGCGGGGCTGGGTGACGGAGGGGGGCGGGGCTAGGCGCCTGACCCCTGTGTTGGACCATCTGTTGGTGGTTCCTCTGTGTCTTTTGTCTTCTGTCCATGTTTTGTGTTTCGGTCCCGATTTCCCAAACCGCCGAAAAAGTCACTGCTGTCGAGCGCTCTGGGACGCTGCCCCCGCGTGAGGGGCGCCGCGTGTGAATGCAAGTTGTTGTTGTTGTTGTGGTTGCGGCCGTTGTGCTGTGGCTCAACGTCTCACCCGAAGGACAGCAACCAACAGCGACAACGTGCCCTCACCGAGCGAGCGCCCTCCACGCGGGGTAGCGTCCCAGAGGGCTTAACGGTGGCGGGGCCTGACTCCGAGCCGCGGGGAGGGGGTGGGGGTGGGGGAGAGCACGAGCGAAGAGAGGGGACGTGCATTCCATTCCAGACGTGGAAATTTCCGCGTGTAGTTGCCAGGCGTGGAACTCTGGTTCGGCTATTCGTAACCGTTGTGATGTGCTTCGGCGTGTGTCAGACACCCTGACGATATGTTAAAAAAAAAAAGGGGGCCACGCTACGATGGAATTTGGGAATGCTGTATATGATGGGGATTAAATCAATCATCTGAAAGCCGTTTAATGAACGAGTGAGCAGGTTGTAATTCAATACAGTGTCTGGATTGAAAAGGATAGTCTCTGAATTTCTTTTAAACACATTTTTTCGGGGGATTTATAATAAGTCCGATGCGCCACTCCGATTCAGGAGTCCTGGAAGAACATCGATGAACCCTGACGACGAACAAATCTCGACAATAGATCATCATTAACCAGCACCTCCGCTAGCTACGTTGTGAATACAATACTCATTTCAGTAGTTGCAAACATAATCATTGCGTTCATCAGCTGTTCTGAGCCATGAAAGACATTGTGAAGAACTCTTAACATCCAGGGGAAACAGCATCACTTCTGCCTCATTCAATAAATCATGAATGAAATTGCATAATCGTATTACGGTTTATGCTCTGATGCTTTCAAACAATTTGGGCTTCTGATCAAAATGCATTTATCTTTCATAAACCAAGGCATTTCATACACCCTGCCTTTTTGGAGTGGAGAAGTTGACTTGGATTATGTGCAACGAGAATAGGAAATTCCTAATGTCACTGATTCTCATGGTGGCAGCCTTGATTTTACTTTTCATACAGTCGCTTGCTGTGTTCCTTTCAGTCTTTTATTTTTGGCACGGTATAAAAAAGTTTAGACAAGAGCTCTACCCTGCGTGAGGAGCGCTATATAAATGCAATTTATTGTTGTTGGGAAGTAAATTGGCGGTTCAATCCATTTAAGGGAACGCTGGATTATCACCAAATTGCGATACAAGTCAAGTTACATTTATACACAGACTTTCATGTCTCAAAGCATTTTACACGGTTGGCAGGTCACCTGTGTTTGGGAGAACGGAACAGGGGGGGACGAAAAGTATAAGTCTTAAGGGGGCTTTGAAAGTGGGTGAGTCAGATGGACTCTGGGATGCAGCTCCATGGAGTGGGGGCAGAATGGCTGAAAGCCTGCTGATGGTGGGTTGGATAGGGCGGTGGACATGGATCAGGCTGAACGAAGAGAGTGGCTGGGTCGGTAAGGATGCAGGTTGTCACAGGTCGAGTGGAGCAAGGCAAGGCCTTGGAGGGAAAAGTTTCCTCTCTCTCCCCGCCCCCCCCCAACCCAACCCAATATGGGGGTGAATTGATTTCCTTCACTGATATGTCAAACGATTTGACACAACAGTAATACAAATAACAAATATGGGCACAAAACTGATGTTCGTATTTAAAATAAAATTTAATAACTTGTTCATTAAAGTTTACAACAACAGCGAGAAACAAATGCTGGACTTAACATAATCCTAATACTCAGACAATGTGATCCTCACGATAAATCTGGCAGGCAGGAATAATCAATCCATCTCACTCCCGACTCAATCCCAGAGTTTCAAACCATGGCCGCACTGTATAAAGCAAATGGGTGAATAGTTCCATTCAAATCACGTTCACAAAGGCCCTTTAAATGGGAGGTGGTGGGGGTGGGGGGAGTACTACAGGTACTATTTTCAATGAAAGTTATAATACAACATCCTATATAATTTGGCAATATAATACATAGGAACACAACTTGTTATTTTGTAAATACGGCTCGATGGTAATGGCTGAGGAATTACCCAGTCAAATTCTAACATTTCACCAGATGAATGGAAATAAAACTTCCGAAAAACATACAACTGTGTTTAATTTACACGTTATGTAACATGGCTACTATACAGAAAACACATTTCTAATAGACAATTGCAATGTCCTTTCCTGTTGGCCTTACAATGGTGTTGTGTGTGGCATCAAGTGTGTCAAATTTATGCTTTTTTCATCTCTTCCTTTTTAAAGTAGGTCGCCTTACCAGGACCTTGGACAAAGCTAAATTTGTCGTATTTTATTAGTCAGAGAGAAACAAATAATTTTTGAGTGCTTTTTTTTGTTCGGTTGGCATTTCAACGGGCCAACAAAAAAGGAGCCCAAGCAGATAGAAAATAAAATGACGCTTTCCGATTACAGTTACACAATTCACACACAGCATCACAGTGCTTTTAATGAATCTTTTGACAACACACTATTGCAAAGTTCTCCGTTATAAGACAATCATAGAATATTACAGCACAGAAGAAGGCCATTCGGCCCATCGTGCCTGTGCTGGCTCTTTGGAAGAGCTACTCAATCAGTCCCACTCGTCCGCTCTTTCCCCATATCCTTGCAAATTTTTCCCTTTCAAGTCCCTATCTAAATCCCTTTTGAAAGCTATTATGGAATCTGTTTCTACCACCCTTTCAAGCAGTGCATTCCAGACCATAACAACTCTAAAAAAATGTCTCCATTTCCTCTCTGGTTCTTTTGCCAATTATCTTAAAGCTATGTGCCCTGGTTCCTCACCCAGTTGCCAATGGAAACAGTTTCTCCTTATGAACTCTTATCAAAACCCCTCAGAATTTTGAACACCTCTGTTAAATCTCCCCTTAACCTTCTCTGCTTTAAGGAGAACAATCCCAATTTCGCTAGTCTTTGATCACCTCAGTCAAAGGTGAGCAGACCTGAGCTACCGACTCTCCCAAGTTCTGTTTCACGTTTGTGTTGCAGAAATACTCTCATTTCAGTCTAACGTAGAACTCACATCTTTCACGTGTGGTTATTGTAATACTAATGGCTTGTGGTAGGCAATGATATTAAATGCCATTCAATCACTTTCTGCTTTCAGCAGAGAATTACTACAAAAATATGAATTTTATACTATAATAAATCCATCCGCTTGACAAATGTATTCCAGGTATGGGGGTGGTGTGGGGGAAACACATTCTATCAATAACACTTGTCGAATGGAAATCTTTTATAAACTACCCCACAGAAGGAGATGTGTGTTAGTGACAGTCGTCAGTGACTACTTTCTTCCAGGGTGGTTATATTCACTGCACGTCTGTCTTAAAACCAATTTCATACCAAAAGCAACAGAGCAGTCTCACCGCAGGTCAGATTATACCGATTAAACACAGTGATTTTAACAAAAAAAAAGGACAGGTGATTCCATGTGGCAACTGACACAAAGCACATTAGCCATGCCACACTCTTAACAGGATTTGTCAAGCTTTATGGGAAAAATCAAATGCACATGAATTACAGGCAGACGAGAGCGCGGTGGTGTCAAAGAAAATAACACAGACGACAAGCGTTTTATCAACGTTAAAAAAAGCGCAGTGGTTCAACAGGGCTAAATAGAGTCATTCTGAATCATGCATCTAATCTGTAGAGATACTATTCCGCTCAAGAGAATCATAGAATTTTACAGCACAGCCGGAGGTCTTTCAGCCCATCAATCCTGGGAACGTCGCCTAGAAATTTGCTTTAAAAGTTTAGTTTGCCGGAAAATCGACGCCGCGTTCGTCCACAAACATACAGTCACCCCAATTTACACTAGATCCTGTGAAGCGCTTTGAGAACAGCTTCCTGACATGAAAGGCCCTGGATCACATGGAAGGATTATCGTTGTTGTTGTTGATGACCTGAAAGACGGTTAAAAGCGTCAGCAGCTTCCGAATGAATCATTGTCACAGGACGCCGTCTAAAACGACCTCAATTGGATTTGGAATCTCAGGCCCGCTGCGCGACACGGAAAGCAGAGCAGAGAGGGAGAGCGAGAGAACAAAACAATGAAACGGAAAAGGCACAATAAACAATAAATGGCCCGGGCCCCCACCCCGCCGTTTAATGGACGAGGAGTCGTGCGCAAGTGGCTGTGTCTTGCGAACTGCCATTTCCGGACAACTTTACGCCGCGTGAGAGTACGCAAGTGCCTCTTGGGCGCAGTGCTGATGGGTACACGTGCCTGGAATGGCCATGAGGCTGCCAAATAACTTCCTTAAGCTCGGGACATGAAAACATTTTTGTTGCAGTTCATTAAAATGGCCAGGACCTGGTGAGATCTGGTGCCGAAGTATTGAGAACGAAAGCCAAGTTAATTATCAGCGCCATCTGGCGACATGCAGGTGCAAGCGACATTACAGTACAGGCATTTCGAAAGGACTCGGAAAATATTGACGGGATAAGATAGCGTTCGTTGTGAGGTCAGGTGTGATAAATGGCGGGACAAATATACTGTACTTCGAATGATCTCTACAATCAGTGCATGCTATTAACATCTCCGGGTACTATCGTTCACCTCCGCAGCGTCCAGGAAAGCAGAGCACTACACTAACTGTGGGACGTCAGCCAAATGCGGACCTGAACGTGGGACCTGTGGTGGGCACCCGACACGTCGACGTGTTCCGTGGTCCGATTAAAGTTTTCGCTCAGCAAAACAAGAAAAAAACATGGGACGGTTTGTAATTATAAAGTTACACCAGTCGCACCCAAACTTTTGATTCCACATCGGCACATTTCATCTGGGAACGTAAAGGATTATCCTCTTCCCCTCCAGTACCTCAACTGAAGTCTTTAAATGTCACTATTCTCCCTCCACGGCACTGTGTGTGAGTGTGGTGGGTGGGGGGGGGGGGACATTTGCTGCGCTCAAATCGGCTGCCGCGTTCGCCCACAAAGCACACAGAGATGCACCGCTTTATAGCATATCAAGTGAAGTTCTTTAAACGTCTTGGCAGCGTGATAAAGCGCTCTACCAAATGCAAGGATTATTATTATTATTATAATTGTAATAAGATTCCTTGGACAGATCAATACCTAACACTCTGTGACTCAATCTGTTCTGCTGAGTTAGAGTAGGTCGGAACCAGCTGACTCCAGGCCCAGTGGTTAGTGTAACGCACCGTGAAAAGATGTAGAAAAATGCATCATTACCACAATTTTTACATTTTAAAACAAATGAATAAATACATTGTAAAAAGGTCTAGAGTCCAGACTTTTATCTCTTCTAGAGAGGCATTCTTTAACACTGAAGGATAAAATCGCAGTATTATTTATGTGGCCGTTCTTTACAATGTGCACAGAAAGAAATTACAGGTACACTGAATACGTAACTTGAAAACTCACTGCACAAGCAGATTTGACATTATTTTTTTGCCGACAAGTGCTGCTACTCTCAAGTCTCTGCCGCGAGAGATAGGGGTGGTCTGAGAATCAGGCTTCGGAAAAGCAAAGGGGATGAGTCAAAACAGTCGTGGAGGGGAAGGGAAGGGAGAGGCGGAGGTGCTGAGAAATATTCCTGAAGGCAAGACGGGCTTTTCTGCAGTGGAAAAAAACCAATCCATCTTTAAATTGAGACCTCATATTCTTGTGTCTCCTGAAAGCCAAAAACACACAGTTGCGGGACACAGTAGCAAGCAGTTTTTCTCACCCCCTCCCCCCACGACAAGGGTGTTCGGCATTAATAACAAAAAGGCATTGAATACAACATTGGTGACACTATGCTTATTATTATTAGTAGTATTATTATGCGTTCCCATCGCTGGTTTCTGCCTATTTCCCACCTCACGCAGTCTCAGTTTGCAATCACCTCCATCACTAACTAACAAGCTGCAATCATGCTTTTGACCCTGACAAGCTAGCAAAATAGCAAAACTAAAAGCCCACAGTCACTCCACTTTACAGTGTATTCTGTGAAGCGCTTTGAGACGTCTCAACGACGCGATAAGGTGCAACCATCAAATGCAAGGCTTATTATTATGAGGGAGCAGTGAGGGCTCTCAGGAGCACTCATTTCACACTACCCTCATGGCAGATTCCCTCAGAACACGTGCAATGAAAATACTTTTCATTGGACATTAGATGACTTGTGCACTCGCTTCTTGTTAGTAAACTGTAGATAGATTGCATTATTGACAAGAGTGGATCACTGGCTCTTTCTTTGCCCCTTTTAACATTTCATGTGCAGCTATCTATTGCTTAAGGCGTCTTGACATCAGGTGAACTCTTCCTCTTTATTTTGACATCAGGAAATCTTGAGGTACAGCCCAGCATTCAGTGCCTCGGGCAAGATTCCTAGGATAATTGAAGTCATGCTCATCACTCATCTTTACCCCTTCATCTGTAAGGCTTGGTGTAACACACCATCAGTGCGCTTTGGGTGGTGGTAAACCTTGTGTTTGCCTGTGGACAACTTTGCTAAGCACCAGCCCCCAAATCCCGCTTTGCCTTTGGGACCCTACCCTGCCTGAGGGGCCGCCATATAAACACAAGTTGTTGTTGTTGCCTTTCAGCACCGCGGGCTAAACTTGCGACATTTCATATTTATCACATTGCATCCGTTGCGGCACAGTGCGAACTGCGAAAAACATGCTTTCAGACCCGCCAAGGGAGCGAAACAAAAAGAGCCCTGGTTCAGAGTTGCAAAGGGGACGATTTGAGGCCAAGCACCAAGGAAGTATTGCTTTACTTTTAGGGGCATTTGATTGTAATGGAGCCGGGGTTACCGACGGAGGGCGGTCGGGGATGTGAAGCTGAGACTCATTTAAGAAACAGCTCGAATGTAAATCGGTCGCTCACTTCATGGCTGGTTGTGGTTTGTTTGCTGTGTGCCAACTGGCTGCCGTGTTTGCCTACAAAAATGCCCAATCACTACGCAAGCACTACAATAAAATCCTGTGGAGTGCTTTGTAACATCCTCCTGATGAGAATTAGTATTATTATTAATAATACTTATTATGTTATTACAGTTTAAATCACTCCATAGAGGTAGTTTCTAAGTGGTATTCAGTGATGGGTCAGCCAGACCAATATTATTATCTTTAGTATTATTATAAATATTCTGCCCTTGAATTATATGTCAGGTGTGAACAAAACACCTGATCCATTGCCATAGACCATGATCACCCACAAAATACACAGTCAATTCACGTTACAGTATGTTCCGTGAAGCGCTTTGAGACGTCTCGAGACGGTAGTGATAGGGCGCTATATCAAATGCAAGGATTATTATTATTATTACAGGGTGCCACGCAGACACAGCTGTGCCAACAATTGTTTTGAAATGCCGTAACCCTTTTTTTTTTTGGCAGCCAAACAGTCGTCGTCACTGGCTTCGAGCCACATGTAAAAGTCAGTTTTGGTGCAAAGTTCTGTTACCTGCTCCGCTCCGGATGGATTGCTGCTTGCCCGTTGCAGAAAATGGTGGCAGGTTTGTCTCAGAGCCTAGCCCCACATAATCAGTAAGGGAAAAGCACAAAAGAAAGGGGTAAGAAATAATGAACAACGGCAAACGCAGATGAACGGATGCCAAGCACTTTAATAATAAATTAATATTCATTCACAGTGAACACACAGTGGTGAAAAATCACACAGTCAGTCCAGCTTTCGAGTAAATAACAATCATGTGGTGAGTAGGTCTTTCTGCACTGTACAGTTCTGTCATTTCAATTGCATTTCTTTTTCCCTCCCTCCCTCCCTTCCTCCCTCCCTGCCTTCCTTTCTATCAGAATTAAGCCCTACAATATCAATAAAACACAAGAAGCTTTCATCCCGTTTCTTTCCACATACATTCCCCACCTCGTCCACATTTTTATGTCACCTAGGATAAGTGGACACAGCTATCTGGAGACAAGATAATTGCAAAGGAAAAGTAGAGGGCTTTAAAGTTACAAAAGGATTCGCTAAAGTGGACATAAATAGGCTGCTTCCTCCCGTTGATGGGTCCAAAATAAATACGATAGCCAATAACAGATCTAAAAGAGAGTTTAGGAGGAACGTCTTGACGTAGACAGTTGTGAGAATATGGAACTCACTGCTGGAAGTTACGGTTGAAGCAGAAAGTATCGATGTATTTAAGAAGGAACTTGATGCATTTATGAGGGAGAAAGAAGGGGAATATAGGAGAGGGGCGGGGGGCCCGTGTGGTGTATACATACCAGCACGGACATGGATCGAAATGCCTGATTCTGTGCTGTGAGGATCTATGTAATTCTACATAAAAATTACCTCCTTAACTCGAATGAATTGGCTACTCATTGTATGTTTACAAGATCTTGTTGGTGCAGGTTAGCCTTGACCTACATAACATTGTTCCTCTACATAATGTTGTTCCTATACAACACTGGTCCTACATAATAACACTGTTCCTATTTAACACTGTTCGCTTTGTTTCAACGTCTGTTTCATTTCGTAAAGTGCTTTGCGATGTTCATTTGATGTAATAATGCAAGACGTTACTATGGATCATAAATTTAATATATGCTGTGCAAGTTGGGGGGTTGGGGGGGGGGGACATGGTTGAACATTATTGAATATAATGTAAGGGGGTGATTTAATCGAAATCCGCAACGCAGGGGGCTTGAACCCACAACCTTCTGACTCGGAGGCGAGTGCTACCCACTTGAGCCACAGGCTGACGCTCAAAGGCTCCAAACGGTTAGAGCTCGATCCTTCCCAAGTAGCCAATTCCCCTAAAGCGCATCGAGACATCCTGACATTAAAGGCGTTGTATCAAATACAAGGATTCTTCTTACTATGTACTTGCAAAGGAAAAGTACCAAATGTCAGAATTCTTAACGTAAAAGTAACAAAAAAAGAAATCCCTATTTTTTTGTTCCTGTTTAACACTGGATGGTTTTCCAATTAACCCCTTTGAGGTTTTGGACACCTGCGTGGAGCCATTTTATTGCACTTCAACTTTCAGGAATACAGCAATAGTCACTCAGCATCGACACCCAAATGCCTAGGGAACATCGCACAACAAGTCACATTCAGTTGTTACTCAATGAAGAAGTTTATATACACGGAAAAAAAACATAAAACACAAAACAACCCAACAGATTACAAACACCTGGTTCAGGTATGTTCCCTCCTCCCACCCACCCCGATAAGGTAATGCGTTCACAGACGGAAATGAAAGGGAAAGGAGAGGGTGGCGGGGGAAGAAACACACGTACACGTACACGTACACACACACACACGCGCGTGCACACACTAACGTGTCACTGAAAAACGCTAACCGAAAAAAAAAGAAAAATAAATGACGGTGGTTAAATCTGGATGTGAAGAACCTGGTCAGACGAAAGACTGATGGATGGTTGGATGACATCGGTGAGTTTAGTTTTGCTTTGTTTCGTGTTTTGTTCATGCCGATGGCAATGGAGCCGGTCGATGGATGAGCGGGAGGACGTGGATGTGATTGATGAGAGCCGGTCAGGTGAGCACGTGACTGTCGGGCTCCATCTCCCTCAGCTGGAGGGGCTCAGTACTTACTCCAGTCTCGTATATGGGGTTGTCGAAGGCTGACTCCACCGTGATGTGGTCGTACGGGTGTGAGGTGGCCAGCGGCAACCTGAGGGTCGACTTGCTCTGGAACCTGAACACAAAAAGGCGAGGCGTAAGACACGCACGCGCACGCACAAAAGCGAGCGACCCGGGTTCGATTCCTGGGCAGGGCGAAACGTTGGGCAAGTTTCCTCGCTCCGCACACACGTCTCTGTTTACCCAACGGTAAGAAGGAACCCGGTTGTTAAGTCGATTGGCGGACTCGCTTTTCTGGGGGGTTAATGACCCCTTCAAGAAAAAATAGTAGTAATAATAATAAATCAATAAATCGGTCACTCAATCCACGACTTTGGGAGACCCCGCTGCTGCGCGCAATTGGCTGTTGGGTGTCGCCCACAAAATATGCAGTCACTACGCTTTACAGTACATTCTGTGAAGCGCCGTGAGATGTCTGGAAGACGTGATGAGGCGCGATATCAGATGCAAGGATTATTATTAACAACAACAATTACGTAATTGTTGTAATTGTAATTGGGGGCCATTCACAGCCCTGTCGCACATAGAGGACTTTTGCTCAGCAAACAAAGAGCTGCTTCACATCTGCCCCCCCACCCACCGCCCCCCCCCACCGCCCCACCGCACTGCAGCTCGACTCACCCCACCTTCAGGAGGTGAGCTTTCAGCCATTCCCCCCACCATCCCTTCTCTGGAATTCCACCCAGGAATCTGTCTGCCTCTTCCCCCCCCACTCCGTTCCCCACGCCCTGCTCCATTCCTACTTTCAAAGCCCACCTCAAACCTCAACTCCTTGACTGCACTTTCGGTCATCTTCTCCGTCTCCCCTCCCTCCCTCCCTCCCCCCCCCCCCCCCCCCCGCCCCAGATCTTATCGCCGTGGGGAGATACAGAGAGAGGTCGCTGTGGGGTGCCCTCCCCTCTGCTCCCCTCCTCTCCGCTCGCCCAGGGCTGCGGAGATTGCCGCTGCGACTTACTTTGTGAAGTAGACGTAGATGCCACCGATCAGCAGAGCGACGATGATCACGGGGACGAAGATGACGATGGCCAGGTTGCTTCCTTCCATCTGGTTCACTGTGGCTGCAGCCTTAGCCACTGTGTGTGGGTGTGTGGGTGGGGGTGTGTGTATGAGTGGGTGTGTGTGTGGGGGGGTGGGGAGAGGAACACAGGAAAATTAGTTACAGGAATTTGGGTGAAACAATTGTCCTACAGCTGTTCCTCGCTCTGACATTACAGCAACGACTTGCATTTATACAGCGCGACCTCACTTGGGTAATGCCTCAAGAGCGCTTCACAACAAACAACAACCACAACGCATTACATTTACACGGCGCCTTTCACGTCGGGAGGACGTCCCAAATGCGCTGGACAGTCAACGAATTGCACCCGAGTTGCGGGTTGGGATCAGGAGGGGCTGGAGGGCGGGGAGGGTGGGGGTAGGAGGGCTGACCGAAGGTGCAGTCGAAGAGGAGAGTCTTGCTGGCAGAGGGTGTAGGTCACAGTGAGGAGTGGTCGAATACGTGCGTTTTAAGAAGGGACTTTGAAGACAGATAGCGAGGGGTGGGGTGGGAGGGGGGATTCTGACACCGACGGTAGCAGGGAGGAGGTGTTGGGGACGTGCAGCTGATTTACCTTCAAGCCTGCGTTCGTTGAAGTACTGGTCGTAAGCGACTGAAACAAAGACAGGAGTCTGGAGTTACACTTGCCGAGGAGCAACGGAACATGAACTTTGACTCTCGATCCACCCGCTGTACGCTTAAGATTGGTGTCTGGACTGTAATGGGGGCTAATTGTCCACGTCCCACCAGAGAACCCTCCCCAATCTCTCCACCGCCGTCACATTCACTATCATGTGATACAAGGCAAGCCTCCCCCCTCCCCTCCCCTCCCCCAGAGAGAATGAGTATAAGATGGTTCCTCCTTGGTAGGACGTTTCAGCTGGTACCTTTGCAGGATGGAGGTGAACTGCTCCACTGTGAAGGGTGTCCCGGGATGCACCTGAGGGAAACATCTCCCGTCAGATGGTAGCCCTCGTAGCAGGCAAACCTCAGGGTCTCGCCCGCTTGGTAGAACCTCTTCTCCGTTGCCTGGTAACCGTTATCAGGGGCGCCCGGGTTGTGGCAAGGCTCGAAGACCTCGGCTGAAGGCGAGAGGAAAACCCGTGAGAAACCCCCCCCCCCGAAAATACACAGCGTTTCATCTCAATTAATAATGATTAATCCTCTCGCATTCCGCGCTGCGCCTCCCATGTCGGGAGGACGTCTCCAAGTGCTTGGCAGGACTTTGCTGTTAAGCGCAGTGACTGCGTATTTTATTGAACCCCAATATGTGCCCAGTGGAGGATGCCAGATGATTATTTGCTGTTGTAGCCCTTTTAAGTACCCCCTTATTTCCCCCAAAACGTCCCACAAACAGCCATGGAGTGAATGACCAAATTTCTCGAGGGGAGATTTTCCAGTTCCTTAAAGTGGTGGGCGGCGGGGGGGGGGGGGGGGGAGGGAAGGGGTTGGGATGGAGCACTTAGATTGTACACCCGTTCATTTGCACACCTCTGTATCGGGTCCTCATGCTTGTGAGGTGAGCCGCGAACCACTACTCTACTGGACTCCACAATGTCACGCGGGGAGGAGAGGAGGTGGGGAGTCAACAGAGTAGATCTTGAACCTCCTTTTCCTCTCCTTTCCTTTCCCCCCTAACCCCGTTCCATCCCCCCCCCCCCCCCCCCCCCCGACCCCACACCCCCATCCATCGCACTCACGGATACACTTTGGGATCCTGTCGCTCCACTTGGGGTTCCCAGACTGTCTGTTGTAACAGGTGAGGATGTTGCTGCCGGTCAAAGCGTAGCCCTTGTCACAGATGTACTGGACGGTGGAGCCGATGGAGAACTTGGCGTCCGAAATGATCCTGCGGCTGTGATCCAGGTCCCCAGGGTCGCTGCAGAAAATAACTTGGAAAGAAAATGCCCAGCGCAAGGTTACGAGTCAAACCACCAGCACTGACTTGTTCCCGTGTCCCCAGTCGGCCCCCAATGTCAGGCAGGAGAGCTCTCTCTCTTTATAGAGGTCACGTTTTAAGTGTGTGAAGGACGGAGAGGAATCGAAGGATCCTTTCCACTCGGCTCCTGCTAATGCCCGCAAACAATGCTCTCCATTGCAGACCTCCATCGTGTTGCTCCTCCCTGCCTCTGCGACCTCCAAAAACCCTACCAACCTATCTACTCCCTCCGCTCGGCAGGCATTGGCCTGTTCCATGTCTCCACTCCACCAATGGAGGTCAGGCCTTCAGCCTTTCTACCCCCACTCTCTAGAACTTCTTCCCGGAACCCGTCCGCTTCGCCCCCTCCATCAAGGCCTCCTTCAAGGCCCGTCTCAAGACCTTCCTCTTCGAACGCACCTTCGGTCATCCTCCCACCCCTACCCTCCTTGCCCTCCACCCCTCTTGACTCCAGCCCACTGCTCGGGAGCAAACCCTTGAATGTCCAGCATTGGGACGTCCTCCCAAAATGAAAGGTGCGATACAAATGCAATTTGGTGTTCTTGGTGTTGCAGATAAAAAGCAAAGCTTCTGTCTGTGCGCACAAGAAGCTCTCAGTAGAACGACTGGGAGACTGTTAAGTGCGGTGATGGGGTTCTGCGTGCACCTGACATTTGGTTTGGCCGGAATCAAAGTGATTAAATGCACCCTGCCTCAGTGTATCGTAAAAGAGAACTTTTTACGATAACCTGAGACACAAGGCATGAGCGTACGATGCTGGATAGCTGTAAATGATGGACCTCTGATAGAATCCATTTAAAATATAAAAATCCGATGGGACTCGTAAACCGCGAGGGCAAAGTTCCAGCGTTTTATGAACTTGTGTTGAGCTTGGCCAGTTGAGTTACGACTGGCTCAGCACCGCACTGGTTTTACTGTATAACTTGGTCATCTGTAAAGCAAGCAGCCTGGCTGCCTAACAGCCTCAGTGATAGAGTAAGTGGAGTTCAAATGTACGGCATTTCGATATAGTTCCTTAACACGTCGAGGTGTCCCAAACCGCTTCGCAGAATTTTACTGTGATTGCAATAATAATAATAATAATAATAATAATTCTTGCATTTGATATAGTGCCTTCTTAGATCGTTGGGCGGTCTCAAAGCGCCTCACAGCATGTATTAAAGTGCTCCGAGACTTCATTGTACGCGTAAGTTGCCATATAAATGCAAGGTGGTTATTTGCGGTCATGGTTGTTTGTGGTCATAGCCCTTTATTTCCCAAAGTAATAATAGAACGTAGCGGCTTATCACGTCTTCGGACGTCTCAAAGCGCTTCGCAGAATAGGCTGCAAAGCGAATTGGCCGTACGTTTATTGCATCCATCTCCCCTTTTCGGGGATCCCCAGTGGATCCTGCCGGTGCGGCCCGCTGGGGTGAGAGCGTTCCGCCTTTATCGGCCGACGTGAACAACGGCGGCTAAACGTTCCCAAGTTAAACGCGACCCGCGATCGCGTTACGCGGGGCCATTTATACGTCCCGTCTTGGCGGCGGCGGCGGGTGGGTGGGTGGGGAGTGGGTTTCTGATTATCCTCAAACAGGGTCGGGTGCGATGTGCGTCGTACCCAGCAGGTGGCGATAACACCACAATAGATTCCGCTCGGCACCCCCCCCCCGCGCCCCCACCCCCCCACCCACCGCCGCCGCCAGTTTAAGACTTGTCGAGATGCAGCTTCGTACAATTTTGCCAAATTGAGCATGACATAAAAGATTTAGAATGCGTTTAAGTAACAGGCCTTTGACATTCTGTCTCCCGCGTGCTAAACGGAGCGTGCACATTGTTTAGACAGAAGTCACTTAGCCAGGGTTTGTTTGTTTACCGCTTGATTGATATGCAGCATTCCCCCCCCCCCCCACCCCAAAAAAAAATGCAGAAGCGACCGGGTTATCGCTCGGAGACGTCCTCCCGGCACGTGGAAGGATTAATAATAATAATAATAATCCTTGCATTTGATATAGCGCTTTTCACGTCGGGAGGACGTCCCGAAGCGCTTCACAGAACACACTGTAAAGTGAATTGACTGTATATTTGTGGGCGAACGCGGCAGCCAATTGGATTATCAATGATCGTCGTTATTATTATTATTATTATTATTGCTGTTGTTCTTTCGCGCTGGACCAGGAAACTTCGCTCCCTCGCAACATCGGCAGCTGGAGACATCTGCGCTGTGACGGAGATCAAGGTGGCCTTTGCGTTCGTCCCCTTGTCTCCTTTGGTGCCAAGTGCGGGTTTGGTTTTTACCCCCTCGCAGGGGGGAGCCTCTTACCTCCCCCCCCACCCCCCCACTTTGTGTCGAGCTGCCTTTGCGCCCGAGGGCTGTGATTGACACCTCGCGCTCCCGCCGCACGTTCATGAAACCTCCCGTTGAGCTAACCGTCCCCGCTGGCCGGCTCTTACCCCCTCTTACGCGCTGAGAGTCTGCGATCGCATCGTATTCGGGAGTTCCTTTGCCGATGACGAGGAGCATTGCAGTGAATTGATAACTCGTGGCTCCAAAGGGAAAAGCGGCGAGTTATCAGGAGTGGCGAGTGTTAGGGAGAGCGTATAAACACAGCAAATAAATGCAACCGGGATATCGACAGCCCGATGACTTAACTGGGAGGGAGAGACAGGTTAATCCAGGGTCGAGTTATGAGGAATTTACTTTATTGCACCACAACAAATTGCAATTATCCGCGCGCCCTTCACATGGGGTGGTGTTTTGAAGCTCTTAACAATGGCGTGGATTGTCCCACAAAAGGAATTAACTCTTTCTGCTTTTACCACAGCTTCACTTGGCGGCTGTTTGAGAGGACGTCCCTTTTTGGGGCGCTCAGAAAATGCACAGTCGCCGCACTTTACACCCGCGAAACGCTTCGAAATGCCCCCCCACCCCCCCTCGACGTGAAAGGCGCTGCGTCAAACGTAAGGGTTAAATGTCAAGTATTTTTTCACTGCTGATCCGGTCCCCCTTCGAATACACGAAAAATAATCCTTGCATTTGATATAACTTCTTATTACGTCGTTGAATCTCTAGAGCGCTTCACAGAATCCATCGTAAAGTGGATTGACTGTAGTTTGTGGGTGAATCGCGGCAGTCAATTGCACACAGCACTGTCCCGCAAACAGTTGTGGACTGAGTGACCAAATTATTACTTATCTTTTCTTTTTGAAGGGATTATTAGCTCCCGGAAAAGCGTTCCGCTAGTCGACTAACAACCGGGTTCCTGTTTACTGCTCGGTAAACACAGGCGTGTGGAGTAAGGAAACTTGCCTAAGGTTTTGCCCCACTCGTGAATCGAACCCAGGTCTTCTCGTTTGCGAGGCGAGCGCTCTTAACCAATACGCTGCAGGACTTCACAATAATAATAATCATAAAAATAATAAAATGTGAGGGAACACAGAGAGAGAGAGAAAGACAGATGGAGAGAAAGAGAGAGAAGAATAAGTCACTCACTCTTCTCACACGCTGGGGTGTCTCCGCTCCATGACAAATCCCACTGGCACATGAGAATATCGGCGCCCACCAAATCGTAGCCAGGATAGCACTGGTAAGTCACCACGGTGCCGTGGATTAATTCCGGGTGTGAAGTCGTCTTCCAGCCATTGAGAATCTCCGGCAATTCTGGGCACGTGTCGTTCCTCAGCACCTCTGCGGGAGACAGTTACCGGGTTGACCAAGGACACACGGCGCCGGGCACATTCGCCGGGATCCGAACAAACAGGGCTCTGTTACACGGGGAAGGGGTGAGGCAGGGGCAGTGGGGAAAGACCGAGTCCTGCAAGCTAAAGGTCTAGCTTTGGGCTGGAGATGACAGCAGTTAACTTGCCAGACAGCGTTCTCAATGAGCACTGCGAGTGGCTTTACCTGGTTAAACTCCAGCAGTTACCCAACCTCCCCACCACCACTCCCAAAACTCCCCCTCCCTCGTCACCCCCCCCCCCTGCCCCCAACGCCCACTCTGGGGTCCTCTAAGTCTTGGTTCTTACCAACCCGCGCTGAATACTCTCCGTGATTAGGAAAGCAGGGCGTGAGTCGCTAGGGAGAGAGAGAGAGACAGAGAGGGAGGTAGAGGGGGATCCATTCCAGACACCCATGTGTAGTTAGCGGGCGTAGACAGAACACTCAGTTCGAACACTCTTTAAGCATGGCAATGGGTTTTCACGTGTATCAGACACCCGGCTGCCCACACAAAAAAATACATTGCAAAGTGCTTCCAGTTTCTTTTGTCCTCTCTCTGTTTCCTCTTTTTGAATTATCATTGCCACAGAGAAACACTTGAGACATAGAAAGATACGAGGACACAGTCTGAAACGGTAATCTCAAAAAGCCTAGCACCTAAAAGACACAGCTCTGATAGGGTATGTCATGACACCTCTTTATTATACATATATATATATATATATAGCAGTTGCAAAGGAAATATCACTGGATGCTGGGCTGAGCGACTGTAATTATCTTAACTGTTTCTTTCCACGCTCTGGCTTCTCGAACAAGCTCTGAAAGTGGCTCAAGTTTTGTTAGCTGTCCTGCTGCTACCAAGGGGATAGAGCTCCCCCCCTCCGCCCCACACCCTTACCCCTTCACCCCCCACCAACGCCCCCCGGATTCAGCCAGGTGTCTCATCATGGCAGTCGGATGTCATGTCCCAAACCATATATGTATGACTGTATCCAGCCCAGAGTTCTACCTTTGCATGCCATCGGCATATGGAAATTTTCCCACATTTGGAACAGAATGTGCACTCTTTCTCTCTCTCTCTCTTTCTCCCCCAAGAGAAATGCACCCTTGTTACCTATGCCCAGAGAGTATTAGCCACAGGTTGGTGAGAGCCAAGGCTTGAAGGGGGGGAGACCCAGAGTGGGAGTTGGGGGAAGCTACTGAAGTTTAACCAGCGAAAAATGCATAGCTTGGGCACTAAATCCTACTGGTTAGGGCTTGACTCAGAAATAATTTAGATAATAAATAATAATATAATCCTTGCATTTGATACAGCACCTTATAACGTCTTTGCGACGTCTCAAAGCGCTTCACAGATTATACTATAAAGTTGATTGAATGTTTACTTTGTGGGCGAAACACGGCAGCCATTTGCAGTGTCCCACAAACAGTCGTGGATTGAGTGACCAAATTTGTCTTATTTTTTTGAAGGGATTATTAGCCCCCAGACAGTGATCTGCCAATCGACTAACAACCGAGTTCCTACTTATTGCTAGGTAAACAGAGGGGTGTTGAGTAAAGAAACTTGCCTAAGTTTTTATCCTGTCCGGGAATCGAAGGGCAAATGGGTCTTTAGAAAGAGAAGACTTGTAAAGCTCACGGGGAAGGAGGTTAGACAAAACAGACAGGATGAACCAAATGGCTCATATATATGCATTAAGGGCCACAAGACTTTGGAACGCAGTTCAGCGCTGATCTGAACAATCGCTCACCTCAACAATTTGTTATTGTTCAAGTGGTTTTTGTGCATAATCGGTGACTAAATGTTACCCGGCAATTTATGCGCTCATCTTACAAGCTGTGAGATATTTTAACTTGCCAGCTAATTGTGCACAATTAGCTGTTTAAGGCACGCTAATGGTTACAATTCAATCTGGCTCAATTAACATTCCAATAATTAATCTGCAGATATGCTGGGGCTAACTGGAAATGGATGCGCTGAAGGGAAAGAAAAAGATGAATGAACGAGCAGTTTATAAAACCGGCTTCCTTTCCTCAAAGTGCAGTGATGTACCTCGCATCAGTGTTGTTTTACTGCCAAGGAATTTCATCTGGCAAGACGGGTTTCTACCCCCCACCACCCCACCCTCACCCCACTCCCCCAAAGTCCTGACATCGACTTGGTAAAGCTTTAATCAGTCACAGAGGTAGGGAGGAGCAAGACCGTGTAGGACTTTAAAGGTGAGGATGAGGGTCTTGAACTCGATCTTCTGGGGAACGGGGAACCAGTGAAGCCGGGCGAGGATGGGGGTGATCGGTTCACGGAGCTCAGCGTGACGATGCAACAACAGTGACTCGCACGTGAAAAAAAAAGTGGGGTATTAATATTATTCTTAATAATAATAATGGCGGGTCATTCATTGTTGATACTGCAGTCGTTATTACTGGCTCGACTGGGAACCGTCTCAACAGAGAGCCGTCCGAGGAACTTTGATCTGTCCTTTTGTCCTTCCGACATGAAAGGCACTAATTAAATGCAATTGTGTTGTTGTGGTGGTGGTGGTTGAAATTGGGTGTTTCGAGGCTTGGCGCCGGGTTTGTTTTGTGCCAAACGGCAGCAGAGTTGCACAACATGGTTGAAGAAGAAAAAGGGGAAACAGAGAAACACAAGCCTTTTCACACCGGTTTCCGTTACCGGGGCCGGTAATCGGTGGCCCATTGATCGGCTGTCAGTCCGTGCTCCCGAACCAGTCAAGTTAGATTCAAAAAATAACATCACCCTCCCTCCTAACAGCTTCTTCAGTGAACAGAGCAGCGGGGAATCTCATTACCGGAGGTGTTAGAATTTGACTTGAAATAATATATCGTTTCTGATCCCTTGCCACCTGCCTCTCAAGCAATTAACTTTGCAACTCACGTCCCGCTGCTAATTTTCTGTCTTTGCACTTCATAATTCATTGGAATCTCTTTATTTCGAAAGTGCCCTTGAACGGATCTGAACCAAACCAGGTTTCCTTACCTTGGCAGCGTACGTTGAGGGAAATACGTTGGGTCTACAGTGAACAAAAAATTACATTCGGACTAATTTTTCCCCTTGAAATTGTACGATACAATTCACGCCTGTATGAAATTATGATCTGTATCGAAGCTGTTCTAAAAAAATGATAGATTCACAGATGGTGCATCTCCAAAACAGACCACTGTCCACAACATATCATTGGGTCAATAATAATAATAAGTCGAGACGTCTCAAAGCTCTTCACAGAATAAGCTGTAAAGTGAATTGACTGTATATTTTGTGGGCGAAACGCGGCAGCCAATTCCGCACAGCGGCGTCCCACAAAACAGTCGTGGATTGAGCGACCAAATTATTATGATTATTTTTTTTGAAGGGATGATTTCCCTCCAATCGATTCTTGACCGGGTTTCTATTTACTGCAAGGTAAGCAGAGGCGTGTGGAGCAAGGAAACTTGCCCCAATGGAGTTTGTTCTCATTTGCCGCTGGAAACCATGGCCATCGATAGTTAGCATCATCACGGAAAGGGCGCGACCTAGTTTTTGATGGCTCAGGACTGAAATCGGTATGAGCATCCTGGGTCATTATAATTAATTGTCAGAAATGTCTGCTGGAACGATTCTCAAATTAGCCACGCTTAATGAAACAACAGAACAATTAGTGCGACGGTAATAAATTGTTGGGCGGACGTTTAAAAGTTACTGCGACTTCTTCGCCAGTGACTTGACGAAAGATAACGCAAACGGAAAGGAAGGAAGGGGAAGGGGATGGAGTGGGGGGGACTGATTATTATTTGGTGTGGGAGGGGGGTGGGGGGGAGGGGGGGTGGCGGGAGACTTATGAGAGAAGTTTACAAACTCAACTCAACTCCCGGCAGCAACGTCTCAATCAGCCGCAGAACTCCCTCCCTCCCTCCCCCCCACCCCTTTATAAAACGCTTCATTATAACGTGGCTTCTATTAACTGAGTTGCGGATTCTGACCATTAGGTATCCTTTCCCCACCACCCACCACCTCCCCGCCCCCAAAAAATCCCCCCAAATGCTTCAAAACGCACTTTCATCACTTCCTGCGTACATCACTGTCAACGTTTCCCGCGTACACCACTGCCGTCACTTCCTGCGTCCATCACTGACGTCACTTCCCGCGCGATGGAAGTGGGCCACTTTTTTCAGCGCGGGAAGCTCTATCCGGCCATCGGTTGTGGTTTTTTTTTAAAAAATAAAGGAGCAAACGGAGACGCCAAACTCACCGTAGAAACGAACCACAAAGCCCTGTTGATAGCCAAAGACGGTGGTGGCCGGGTCAGACTGGAACTGCATGGTGACGTCGGCCATGGAAGTGTAGAGCTTGAAAGGGCGGCGAATGCCCGAATACTGACCCAGAATACTGGCCGTCAGGTCATCCCCATCGTAAATGGTCAGCACGTCATTCTCCCCCATGTTCATCCTGCAAGAGGGGACGCAGATCGTCAGCCAGGAGGCTGGGAAACGTTCCTTAAACTCTTCGGGATGTAAGCGAGCAGAGCGGGTCCTTCGGGAGTGAGTGAGTGAGCGAGAGAGAGAGAGAGAGACAGTGTGTGTATGTGCTCCACTCCAGACCTGGACGATTTTCCATGGGTTTTGTGGAAGTTTCTGTAGTTTGACTCTTGATGACAGTGATGGGTTTCCATGCACGTCAGACAACCTACCCGGCTAACTCAAACATCTCCGACTGTGGCCCCTCGTTCAGGGCGGATCTCGAGTATTTTACGACGGTTTTTGGTTTTGCCCGGAAAATACACAGTTAATTCGCTTTACAGTGCTTCCTGTGAAGCGCTTTGAGACGTCTCCGTCACATGCAAGGATTGTCTCCCGCGGTGCTACTCGGAAACGCAAGGGGGTTTGAAAAGGATGAAAAACAAATATGGCGAAGCTGGCAGGCGGAATTACTTTTCAATAAACAGGAGCGGAAACAGACTTGCAGGAAAGGTCAGGGAAAGCAGAGAGCTTGCACGGGCTTTGAAAGGCAATTAGAGCGTTTCTGAAGCAAAGGCGCGAGGATTACAATAACACGGCAGGAGACGAGATCCGAAAGAATCCTGACTTGTGGGCCTAATGGCTTTTCCTTATGATTCCATGCTCAACTTATCATAATCAAAAAGCTGCCTTGATCCCTATGACTAGCAGATGAGTTCACCGGTGACACTGAAACAAGAGCTAAAACCCACCGTCTCTTCAACAAACATCGCAGGCTTAAAATATCCACCCAGTCTTCCAGACAGCGATGTCAACGGCAAGATCTGCGGGTTTTGGCTGGTTAGACTCCAGCAGTTGCTCCCAACGCACACTCTGGGGAACGCTGCATTGTCTGAGGCCCCATCCTGTAGATGAGATCCTAAACCAAAGTCCTCCACTGGGCCTGTTGGGGTGACGTTAAAGATCCGGCAATGCCACTCGAAAAGAGAAGAGCGATTCTCTCTCCTGGTGTCTTGGCCAACAATCCCCCAGACAGTATCAGCCACTCACTCGATTGACGGCTGTCTATCTGTCGGGACGTTGCTGTGTGGAAACCGGCTGCTGTGGTCGCCGACAGATTACACACATCGACCACACTTTACAGAGAGTCCCGGGAAGCGCTTTGCAGCGTCTCGAGAGACAGGGTCGGGGTTTTTCCACAGTTCGGGGTGATCCTGAATTGTAAGGTGAAACGGTCTTACAGGCTAAGTTTAAGGTGAATTGTCACAACTCGGAATTCTCTTCCTTTCCCTCACCATCTCTTTATCTATCCCCCGACCGGCCTCAAAGCCTTCTAGGTTCTCATCTCATTCACACAAGCTGCCGCAGTGTGCCTTGCCAGCGTCCCTATCTGCGCACAGCTGTCTGAATGCAGGCACAATGTCACCTTGACAACGTTATGATGTAAAGAGGTTCCCCCCCAGTGTTTTCTGAGAGAGGGAGAGAGCAGAACGGCTGAGGGATGCTTTCGCGCCTTATCACGTCGTTGAGACGTCTCAAAGCCCTTCGCGGGATACGCTGTGAAGTGAATCGGAGGCAGCGGAAGCAGAAAGTGTCATTTTTTTTCAAAATCAAATTAGATAGATTTCTGCTGGAAAATAATATCTCGGGACACAGAATATAGTTTGGGACACACATGGCAAGCGACTGCCAGGATGGTGAAAGGTGAACTAGATAGACCTGGGTCTTCTTTTGCCCAGCAAATTCTTATGTTCTTATTTTTTTTTGAAGGGATTTTTAACCCCGGAAAGTGATCCGCCAATCGACTAACAACCCGGTTTCTACTTACTGCTACGTAAACAGAGGCCTGTGGGGTAAGGAAACTTGGGAAACTTGCCTAAGGTTTTGCCCTGCCCCGGAATCAAAACCGGGTCCTTTCGCTGGCGAGGCGAGCGCTCTAACCACGACACTGCAGGACTTCGCACTGCTATCTTCAGGCACATCCCTCCCTCTCTCCCTCCCCCTCACTCCCCCCAAATCCCACAGCGGAAAGGTACAGGCAAACGGGGAGGCAAAGGTGGAGTGATTACATCAATAGTCCACTCGGCAGGTTAACAAGCAGTGAGAGGGAGGAGTGTGCCGGGTGCAATGTGTATGGCGACAGCAGAAAATAAAAACCTAATAAAAGTGACAAACTACTCGAGTAGAGTTGCTGGTAGTTACAGTATCACAGAGCACAGCAGAGGAGCTGAGGACGATTTCAAGGCTGTAATCTCATTTTATGGCTAGGCACAGTTTGATCTTCACCCTGGCAGTTTGAAATTACAGTGAGCGAAATGCCTCCCTCCTAATTACTCCCCGGATCCTTGGTCTCTATTATAAACCACTGTGAAGCACTCTGTCATCCAGGAAAACACACTGCAACACTTTTCAGTCAATCGGTCACTCAGTCAGTTATTCGGTACCACACACACACACACACACACATACACACAAATAAAGTTCAGATACAGGGCTACACTCGAGCAAATGCTGCTTCTGACACATGCCCTCCTTCCCCTCGGTTCCCACCCCCAGCTCGGGTGTCCATCCAACACCGTCAAGCACTTTGAGATGCCCTCCTGACGAGAAAGGCGCTGTTTAAAGGCGCTGTAAATTGCATTGCCTTTGGTTGAGCACCTTTCACATCAGGAGTACGTCTCAAAAACACTTTGAAAGGCTCCTACTTACTGCTAGGTAAACAAAGGCGTGTGGACGGAAACTCGCCCAAGGTTTCGCCCTGCCCGGGAATCGAACCCAAGTCCGTTCGCTTGCAAGGCGAGGACGCTAACCACTATGCTACGGAACTCCAGTTTATCAGCGTCGACAGATTCCTGGGTTCCCAACCGAGAGAAGCTGAGCTGTGAACGCAGGGAGGTGTCATCTGCGCCCAGGATTAATCAATCAACCGTCACTGAGAGTTTCGTCACGGCAATCACTTGGCAGGTAGAGCGGAAAAATGATGATGAAAAGGCAGAAAAATGCTAATGTTATTAAGGGAGCCGCGATTTAATTTATATACCAAGGTACTCTGCATATGCCACTGTAATTTGAAACCGTCTTTCTTTCAACCCGCCAGTCTGCATTATGGGCCAAAAATGCTCCACGTTTTAATTAAATTGACAGCGTCTGTTTGACAATTCTTCCCTGTCTGCCACAATTCTTAATCCATTCTTTACAAGCCTTGGGCATTAACTGTTCCCAGACTACGAGGCCACTGTGCCCTATGTAGGTGAACGTGGCAGCCAATTTGCACCCACCCAAAGTCCCCACGAAACCAACATCTATGAAGTGAGTGACCAGGTGGGTAGGGTTTGGGGGGGAGGGATGGTGGGGGTGGGGGGACAAACTCTCTTCTCTTTTCGACTTGATCCGTGGAATCTACAAACCTCCATCCGAGCAGGCACGGGACGGGACATCGGTTTTAACGTCTCTCCCGAAGGACCGCGCCTCCGATGGTGAAACGCTACCCCCTGCGCTTCTCTGGAGCGTCAAACTAAGCTCCAATGTGTGGCTTGAACCCACAGCCTTCCCAGCTAAAGGCGAGAGTGCTAGAGACTAAGGAGATTTTTGTCACACGAAAAATTGCTGGGATGTGGAACTCCCTGCCAAGCAAGACGGTGAAGGTAGAGTTCTCTGTGGATTTCAAAAGGGAAGTAGACAAGTACAACAACAACTTGCATCTGTTTAGCGCCCTTCATACAGGGTAGTGTCTTGGAGCACTTAACAGTGGTGGAGCCTGTCGCCGAGCTGGGGGGGGGGAGAGGGAAGGGAAGAGGTGACCGTAAGTATGGTCAAAGAAGAAGGTCTTCATTCGTGATCTAAAAGTTGGGAAGGAAGGGGCAAGGCGGAGGAATTGAGGGAGACAGTTCCAAAGCTTTGGGGGCGTTAGTGGCTGAAAGCATGAAGGATAGAGACTTGAAAGGGGACAGGGATAAGGCAGGGCAGTGGGATTGAAATTGGTCCAGACTCGATATGCGAATGGCCTCCTTCCGTGCTGTAAATCTCTATGATTGTGCAAGACTGGGCCTGGCTGACGCCTTGACAAAGAGGCTTTTATTTCCTTGAAGCTGAACAGGCAAGAAGGACGCAATTCCCACTCGGCATGCTCCAAACCCATTATATAAAAAAAAACACGTTGCACGAGAGAGAGAGAAAGTGCCAGCTCAGCTTGCGTAATTGGCGAAATATTTTAATTGCGAAACAATGACTTAATTAATTATGTTTGACGATTTCCTTCACAGCCCTGTCCAGAATTGCTTTTTTAATAGGCTTGCAGTGTGTAACACGATCGCTCGGGATGTATGCAAATGAGCGCATCCTAATTAAAGACACAAACAAAATTGGCTGCATGAATAATCCGTCACCATTCACAGACCGCTGATCTATCGTTGCCACGTGCCTTGTTAATTACATAAAACAATCATTTCCTCCTCTTCTCTTTCATTCATTCACTCTCTCTTTCTCTCTCTCTCTCTCTTTTTCTGTGACTGGCTTCTTCTCAAACAGATTACTTTTCCTAATTCGCATTTAACATCAATTTTTAAAGCCGGTTTTGCTCAAATTATCATCCTTTGCGTTTGACGTGGCGGCGTCTCAGCGCGCTTCACGTGATTTACTGTAAGTACAGCTAGACCTGTATTACTTACATAAGCATTGGCACAAATGCTCAGCGCTGGTGTGATTCTGATGTAAACGTGCGCCCAAAAGAGAATTTACAGCAGTGACACAAGGCAGGGTCTTTATAGCCTGAGCACAGAGCAGTCGGCAGCTTGCTGTGAAGTATTCATTCAAAACCCATCACCATCAAGAGGTGATTTTGCCTTGTCCTGCTGTCTTCAAACCTTTGAGACGTCTCGAAGACGTGATAAGGCACTGCATCAAAGGCAAAGATTATTTTTATTCATTGCCCAACAGTTCAAAACGCTTCCTGTCGTTTTGACCCTTGAAGTGCGAACAGATTAACAATCGCGTTCTGGGGGCAATAATCCCTCCAAAAAAAAAATGGTCATTCGATCCGCAGCTGTTTGTGGGGACGCCGCTGTGCGCAATTCGCCCGCAAAATGCGCAGTCACTCCACTTTACAGTATATCCCGTGAAGCGCTTTGAGACGTCTGAACGACGTGATAAGGCGCTGTCTCAAATGCAAGGATTATTATTACTATTATATGTTGCACTTACACCTCCACGTCTAACATGATCCTCTTGTCCTCCTCGACATGAATCCCCCAGATGCAGTCCTGACCTTTGTCGAAAGCTTCCGGCCAGTTGGGAGACAGAACCACACCTCCCGAGTCTGTGATCTCCCCACTGCAGACGGCTAATGAGAAGACAGACGGTGTCAGCGGCTTCAAAACACAAGGCAAATCCCCCCCCACCGGCCCCCACTGCTCATCCTGCCCCACCAACCCAACCCCTCACCTCCCACACCCCTCACCCCACCACTCGACCCCTCACCCCACTCCCAAATCCCTGGAACGTCCTCCGAGGAAACCAGATAACACAGCTTTCACTCCTCACACTATGTCTCAACCCTTCATTGAGTAGAACAAGAGGACGTACGTTTAGAGCTGTAAATGCTTTGAGACGTGCTTCCGACGTAAAAAAGGTGTCCCACGCTCTCCCTCTCTCACCTCTGCAGGCTGGCTCCGTCTCATTCCACTGGGGCTCGCGGCTATCCAGGCATTCGATGATCACCGAGCCTTGCTCCAGAGTGTAGCCAGGGTCGCAGGAGAACTCCGCCACCGTTCCCGCGGGGTAAGCCGCGTCGCTCGTGGTGAAATTTCCGTACTTAATGAACGGCTCGTAGCAGTGACCCGGCTTGAAAGCTGGCAAGGGAACAGAACCGTAGAAAGTTCAAATGCACTTAATAATAATAATAATCTTCGCATTTGATGCAGAGTCTTATCACGTCGTTGAGACGTCTCAAAGCGCTTCACAGGGTAAGCTGTAAAGTGAATTGACTGTGTATTATGTGGGCGACGTCCTCACAAACAGTTACGGATGTAGTGACCAAATTATTATTAATATTTTTTATAAAAGGGATTATTACGCCCCAAAAAGAAAGCAATCCACCAATCGACTAACAACCGGGTTCCTAGTTACTGCTACATCAACAGAGGCGTGTGTGTGGAGCAAGGAAACTTGCCAGAGGTTTCACCCCGTCCGGGAATCGAACCAGAGTCCTCTCACTTCCAAAAGGAGCGCTCTAACCACGATGCTACAGGAGACTCCAAATCAAATGCAAGGCAGCTCCTGTCTACCGGTTGGTGATCAGGAGAGACACTCAGTTTGTTATTTAAAGATTAAAGGATGAGATTGAATAAGGAGATCAATTTGGTAATAGAGGGCAGCAGTTGTCAAATAAACACGACTGGGTTACATGTCAGCATTAACAGCTCGTGTCAGTTCTCCTCCAGGGCTTTCTGTTTGCACAGCATCACATCCGCAATGAACAACAGCAACAAGAACAACTTAATAATAATAATAATAATCCTTGCATTTGACAGAGCGCTTTTCACGCCTTCTAGACTTCTCAAAGCGCTTCACAGAATATACGGTAAAGTGATTTGACTGTGTATTTGTGGGCGAAACGCGGCAGCGTCCCACAAACAGTCGTGGATTGAGCGACCAAATTTTTATTGTGTGTGGTTTTTTTTCTTGAGGGATTATTATCAGGCGTGTGGAATAAGTAAACTTGGCCAAGTTTTTTGCCCTGCTGGGAATCGAACTCAGGTCTCTTGCTGGAGAGGCGAGAGCTCTAGCCATTGAGCCGCAGGACTCCATGGCTATGGCTCCAACTTGCATTGATATAGCGCCCCTCACACAGGGTAGCGTCCCAGAGAGCTTGAACATTCGGCAATCCAAGCTGCTGCACAACTGGTAGCGGTCTTCCGAGAGGCAATCAGACAAAGAGGGAGAGAGAGTGCTCATCCCATTCCAACAGTCTATCTTTGGAATTGCCATCTGTAGGTGGGATGCATGGAATTCTGAGTTTGGTTCGGATATCTTAAAGCATGGTGATGTGTCAGACACCCAACTGAGCCCCCCCCCCCCCCGTCCCCAACCCCCCAAAAAAATTCTGTAACAAGGGGAGAAAAAGTGGGTCAAATAAATGGCAATGGTCTCCGGGAGCAAAGTGCTCTGGACGCTGTCCTGCGTGAGGGGCGCGAAATAAATCCACGTTGTTGTTGTTGTCGTCTCCCCGTGTTCCTCTATAACCTGGCACAGCGACCGCCTACTGCACTTCAAATCGCAGTGATTTACAGCCGACCCTTGGCGGTGCTCTTAAAGAGAGTGGTTCGAGTCCGTAAAAGGCTCCTACGTCTACAATACAGCTTGGGGGGACGCAGTGGAACAGCACGAGTTTGGGCATGAATCAAGCTCAAGTGCGACAGGTGTGCCAAAGCCATCAACGCGAGGGTCGTTTCAGCGTATATCTGCCTCCTACCTATCAGCCCGGCCATCTGCTTTCCAGTGACTTGTTTCTCCAATTGTCGAACCTGTGTTCAGCACTTGAATACCAAATGCTGGAGGCAATTTGGTGAGTCTCCACTGATAACACTGCGTAAAGCACCAGGATAAGACGAATTCATCTTTGTAGCCGTTCTTAACGTTATAGTGCAGAACCCATTACTGTGTATCACGCCTGCACTTACTGGGGGTCAAACCTAACTTAGAGGCATTGAATTTATAACGCTTCTCTTAAGCGCTTACAGTTGTCTTCCCCACTCGAGAGGTGCGGTGTAAGTGTAAATCGCGTTGCATTGTGCTCTCTAGGTCTCTTTTCCCCGTTTCCAATCGCAATTGACTCCACGCTATCTTAATTGAGGAGGAAAGCCATACACATCGTTTTATATAATTAATTTACCGAGCGAAAGCTCTTGGAACGCAACACGCTCAAACATCCACAATGCAGGTTAATTACTGTGGGTAACACACTATCTCTCTGTAATGCACCTCATCCTCTGTAATGTATCAGAACCTCTGCTAGCTTGCATGCTCTCTCTCTCTCTCCCTTCTTCCCTCCTTCCCTCCCCTCCACCTCTCTCTCTCGAACACCAGCATATCCCCAACTTGTTAGCATTCAGCTTTTTGGGATTTGCTTTTTGTGTGCAAGGGTTTAGAATAATAATAATAATCCTTGCACTTGATATAGTGCCTTATCACGTCTTTGAGGCGTCTCAAAGCTCTTTACAGAATACACTTTAGAGTGAACTGACTGTATATTTTTGGGCGAAATGTAGGTTTAACATCTGATCTCATCTCTCGAGAACACACACTGTAACCATTCGCCCCCCCCACCACCATCACAGCATCAAGCTGCTTTTCAAATGTGTCCCAGAGTCCTGGCCTCAACCAACCTTCCTGGCAACCCTTAGTTTCGGTGCTTGATTGCTCTCTGAGGAAAGAAAAGCTTCCTGGAATCTGTCCTGAAATTGCCCTTTGCAACTCTAAACCAGTGTCCTCTTGTCCTACTCTCCTGTTGCATCCGAAAGTATTGGCCTGGGTTTATTTTCTCAATCCCATTTAAAATTTTACCCACCTCGACCAAGTACCGTCTGAATCTCCTGCTTCTCTCTGTTTCCAAAACTCCTAGCCCACCAAATATACAGTCCATTCACTTTACTGTCTATTCTGTGAAGCACTTTGAGATGTCTCGAAGACTTGATAAAGGCGCTATAACAAATGCAAGGATTATTATTACTATAAACTATGACCAAGCCAATTCTGCTCCACTTTAAGTTTTACAACAAGGTTAAGGGGGAATTTCGGGGAAAGGGGGGTGAGTGTGGGGTTTGGTTTTGTATCTGAAGCTAAGAGCCTTGTTGTCAACAGTTTAACGCACTCCCCCTTGAAATTCATTCTGACATTCATGGGCAAAACTGCTCGCTCCCTAAGAGTGTGAGTCATTTATTTGCCATGTATATAATTGCGATGTATAATTACATCTAAAGTAGTACTTGAGAGCTTCCTCCACTGATTCCTACCTCTTCACGTTAATGGAGTTCAGACAGCTTACAGTGCTGTTACCCATATAATAGGCCATTCTCCTCCCCGACGCTGCCTACACAGCGACATGTTTATCTTGTAAAATCCTGTTTTATCTTGTACTGAACAGCAGAACCAGAGGACATGGCCTGAGATCGAAGGGGGTGGAGTGGAGGGGTGGTGGTGTGGCGGTGGTTAACTTCAGAACAAAACTGCGTAAACACTACTTCAGTGGGCGAGTGGTAAATGTATGGAACAGGCTCCCTAGAGAGAGTTGGAAGAGGAAAGCGTTGATTCTATCGAAAACAAATCAGATAGATTTCTGTTAGGAAATAATATCTCGGGATAGAGTGTATAGTTTGAGACAATGACATGTGCAAGCGACTGCCGGGATGGTGGAAGGTGAATTGGATGGACCTTGGTCTTTTCTAGTCTGGTGAATTCTTGTGTTCTTACATCTCTTTGTAGGATAATCCTGTGAAGCGCTTTGAGCCGCCTCGATGACGAGATAAGGCGCCGTATCAAATACAAGGATTATGATTTTTATCATCTTTATTGAAAAAGACAAAAATATTTAGCCGGGGCGATGGAGACAGGTGGAGGGTTGGGGTGGGGAGGAATGGAAATAGTGAGTCCCTGCTCACTTTGCTCACACTGGGGTGCAGTGCAGTGCTGGGGTGGGATGCGGATGGGTGGGGGGGGGGTGGGGAGAGCACCACATTGTCACGAGATACTAAACCAAAGACTCCATCTGTGCCTGTTCAGGTGGGCGTTAAAGAGTTTCTCCCTGGGGTCCTGGCTGTCAATTGCCCCCTCCCTTCCCTGAAAAGAATCGCTCATTCACTTCACGGCTGTTTGTGGGGGACGTCACTGTGCGCATTCGCCTACAAAATACGCAGTCGCCACGCTTCGCGGTAAAATCCTGGTGACGTCCTGTGCTGTGCGAGGATGTTGTGCGGTTATCATTGTTATTTGTAAGGGAAGTGCGCAAGTGTATCATTATCCCTTCTGTAATTTTAAACGCAGACGAGCGCCTGATTATTTCCTTTATTTGATTAAGTTTGCTGTTCCGTATAACCAGCTGGTACTCTCTGTGGAGCTGAGAGAGGAAGCTGCGATCTATGTGGCTGGAAGCATCGCCTGAAGTCTCTGTAATTATTCCTCCTTCTTTTTCCCTGCTTTGGCCAGATCAGCGATAGCTTCCGCCACAGTGTCATTGAGTTCAGTGCGTGTTGAGGCGTCAGTCGGCTGTACAAGCCGCATCTGCTCCTTGTTCTGACTCTCGAGCGCGAATCGGTTCCTTCTATTTCAGTCACTGCACGGACGCGATGTAATATCTAAACCGTTCAATTGTACCTCTTCGACCACATCTCCGGCATCTCCTCCCCCACACCCTCCCCCCACCCTCCCCACACACACGCACTTTGCCACGAATTGAGAGAGAGAGAGAGAGAAAGAGATAGAGAAAGAGAAACTCCCTTCTCTTTTCAAACAGCGCTGTGGGATCTTTACCGTCCACCTATTGGCACCTCAGGTTCACGTCTTTTCCGAAGCACGGCATCTCCGACAGTGCGGCTCTCCCCCCGGGACTGCGCTGGAGAGAGTCATCTCAGACTCAGGCAAGTTCAACTCCCCCACCGACCCCGCACCCCCTCACCCGCCCTCACCCGAAGTTCTTAAAACGTTGGGGTTAATTTGAAGCATTAAAATCATAGAATCTTATGGAACAGGAGGAAGCCATTTGGCCCATCGTGCCTCTTTGAAAGAACTAGTCCCGCTCTCCCGCTCTTACCGCACAGCTCTGGATTAATCCACCGTCCTGCGCCATCGTTTGCCCCGTCAACAGAAAGGGATGGGATTGAAGCCGACCCCTTGTTCTGGGCTGACATCTTACCTTCGTATCTCAGAGCGAGTCCAGTGGAGGTTACCGAGCCGTCCGTGCTCAGCTCGATGAAGAAATGTCGGAAACTGCTGACCAGGCCCTCGATGGGCAGATATTCCACCTCGAAGGAGTCATAAACCGGCGGAGAGTCAATGCTGTTCCCGTTCCTGATAATCAGCCTGGGAAAGAAACAAAGGGAGAGAACAGGAAGAAAACTAAATGAACGTGAAAACATTAACGTGCAAGTTATACTGGGTGGGAGATGGTGGGGGGTGGGGGGTTGGTAGGGGGAAGTTATTGGTCTGTTGCATTCGCCGAGCATGAATAGGTTCTGACGAAAGGTCATCAAATGTTAACTCGTTTTCCTCTCTCCATAGATGCTGCCTGACCTGCTGCGTGTTCGCAGCGATTTCTGTGTTTATTTATGAATAGGTTTGCGTTCCTCTTGTAATCCCGATTCCACACTGAATAACAGGGCACAGACACAAGGCTTCCCTCCCAGCACAAGCACGCTGCTGGCTCTGCTCTACAAGAGTCAGAGATACTGGAGTTACAGGAGGGACGTCTTGAGTTGGGCTTTGAACGAAGAGAGGGAGGGAGTAAGTGAGTGAGTGAGGGATGGAATGAGAGAGTGAGTGAGGGAGGTTGGGAGTGAGGGAGTGATGGAATGAATGAATGAGAGAGTGAGAGAGTGAGAGAGTGAATGAGTGAATGAGTGAGTGAGTGAGTGAGTGAGTGAGTGAGTGAGGGAACAAAGTACTGAGAGTACGAGAGAGTGGGTAAGGGAGTGAGTGAGTGAGGGAGCAAAGGAGTGAGTGAGAGAGTGAATGAGAGAGTGAGGGAGTGAATGAGCGAGGGAGTGAAGGGCTGAGGGAGTTGGGAGGGTGAGTAAGGGAATGAGGGAGGGAGGAAGCCATGATCAGATCAGCCGCGCTTTAATTAAACAACGGAACAGGCTCGAAGGGCTGAATGGCCTCCTCCTGTTCCTACGTTCCTCTGGGAGAGAGTCGGGGAGTCGAGTTACCTGTCGTCGTCCTCAGCCAGGGCCACCTTCTCGAAGTGCAGATGCAGCCTCTGTCCCTCCGGAGCCTGGAGCAGCCAGTGGCAGGTCAAGTTGTTGCTGTAGTTTCCCGGGAAGTTGGGCGAGATGATGCGGCCCCCCGTGGCGTTTCTGATCACCCCCCGCACGTGGCTGTGCGAGCGAGAGAGAGAGAGAGAGAGAGAGAGAGAACAGGGCAAGTGTCACGCAGAGAGAAACCTCAGTCAGCAGCGTCACCATTAATAATAATAATAATAATAACAATAATAATAATCGCCCACAAAACACACAGCCACTATACTTTACAGTGTATCCTGCGAAGCGCTTTGAGACGCCTCGACGAGACGTGGTAAGACGCTGTGTCAAACGCGAGGAATCATTATTAATATTGTTATTCGCAGGGTCACCGCTCGCTACTGGGCTGAAGGCTGCAGACTTTGGAGGTCGAACTGGGAAGATTACTCCACTGTTCAAATATTAACACACGGGCATCAGCCTCGAAGAGGTTAGCTAATAGCGCTGTGTGTTTAACAATTCATTAGCAAGAGTATTCATTGTTTCTGAAAGCGTGAGGAGACTTTGCAAATGTTACCGAACCGATTGGGAAAGACCCCGGTTTATTTTCAGGCGTAGCTTCCAAACCGGATACCGTACTGCTCTTTATTCTCTATCCAGACCGTGCAGCTCGTCTCCTCTCCCGCACCAGGCTCCGTGAGCCTATCAACCCCCCTACCGCCCCACTGCGTTGTCTTGCTTGGGTTCACTGGCCACCGACCCATCCACATTCTTGAGAGAAAGAAGGAGAAACAGAAAGAGAGGAAGAACGACAAAGAGCGAGCGTGTGAGACAGTCAGAGCAAGAGAGAGCGAGAGCAAGGCAGAATCAGGGCAGGAAAATGCGAGGGAGAGACTGTGAGTGCGTGAGAGTGTGCGAGTGTGTGAGAGAGGGAGAGACTGTCAGTGTGCGAGAGGGAGAGAGTGCGAGTGTGTGAGAGAGGGAGAGACTGTCAGTGTGCGAGAGGGAGAGAGTGCGAGTGTGTGAGAGAGGGAGAGACTGTCAGTGTGCGAGAGGGAGAGAGTGCGAGTGTGTGAGAGAGGGAGAGACTGTCAGTGTGCGAGAGGGAGAGAGTGCGAGTGTGTGAGAGAGGGAGAGACTGTCAGTGTGCGAGAGGGAGAGAGTGCGAGTGTGTGAGAGAGGGAGAGACTGTCAGTGTGCGAGAGGGAGAGAGTGCGAGTGTGTGAGAGAGGGAGAGACTGTCAGTGTGCGAGAGGGAGAGAGTGGGAGTGTGTGAGAAGGAGAGCGACTGTGTGAGAGAGAATCAGGGAGAGAGAGAGTCACACACAGACACCCACAGACAGACAGTAAGCAAGAGGGAGCATTCACCATATGCAGCCTTCACCTCATTCGACTCCAACTCCTGGAGGTGATAAGCCGGTGAGTGTTGATTTCTTTTTACAATAAAACCCGCGGAGCTCATTACAGACCCAGGGTGAGAAACTAATTAGCAATAATTGCGAGGGGAACCTTTCAACGGCAAGACATTATTGTCGCATCGACAGAAAAAAAAGTGAATGGAAGCCCGGCAGAGAATGGAAATCGATGAAAGAGAAAAGCAATAAAGGAGGAAATGAACGATGGGGAAATAGATTTTCGAAGTTTTGAAGAAAATATTAAACCGGTCAGAATGTCGGTTAGGGCTGAATAATTGAGCGTGGCATCGAAGTACAGATATGATCAAACGGAACAGTTACTGGAGAGGATAATACTAATATTCCGTACATTGGTCATTCACTCCCTCGGTCACTCACTCCCTTTACTGCATCACACGCGAGGATTATCGAAGCCACAAAAGTAATCGTAATAATAATAATCCTTGCCTTTGATATAGCGCCTTATTACGTCGTCGAGACGTCTCCAACCGCTTGACAGAATACACTGGCATGTAAGGTGAATTGCCTTTGTATTTTGTGGGCAAAACTTATTTTTATACCAGGGGACACGAGAGCAGGTTTATTCACAGCCCCCGGTGCAGTGTAACCCAGTCATTTAACAACAAGCCTCAATGGCCCCACAACAACACACTTACCGATGCACTGAGGTTCCTGGTCACTCCACTGGGGTTTGCTGCCGTTGATGCAGGTGAGCGAGGCCGGACCTTGCAGCTGGTATCCCAAGTTACAGTAGAAACGTGCTTCTCCCCCAGGGTGCAGGCTGGTGACGGACACATCGCCCAGAGAGGGTTTGTGCGGAAATCCGCAGCTCAGCAGATAAGCTGTGCGGAGACGAGAAGAGAACGTTAAAAATTTGCCGGGCGAAAGAGGACCAAGACCCATCCAGTTCGTCTTCCACCAGCCCGGCTGTCGCTGGCACAAGTCGTAGCCCAAATTATACGCTGTAATCCCACAATATTATTTCCGAATTCTCAATAGTTCTTGAAAGAATCGACGCTTTACGCTTCCGCCCACCGTCTCCCGAGGGAGCCTGTTCCAGACGTTTCAATCGTACCGAAGAGATAGAAAGAGAGAGAAAGAGAGAGCTTATGATAGTTGTGGAGAGAGAGAGAGAGAGTGAGAAAGGTGTGTGGAGGAAGGAAACCAGTCTAAGGTTTTGTCATGTCGGGAATCGAACTCGGGTCCTCTCGCTTGCGAGGCGAGCGCACTAACCACTACGTTACAGGTCGCCACGTCCCTCAGATGAGGTTTAATGCCTAATTTGAAGGACGGCACCCGTGACAACGTAGGGCCCCCCCACCCTCACAGCATGTCGCTGGGAACGTCAGCCTAGATGGAAGAGGAATTGGTGCTGTGGATTCCAGCTTCCAGCACTTTCTCAAAAGATATACAGTTGTCAGCCAGGCTCGCTGAGAACAAAGGCGGAATCAGTTCAGTATTCTTCTTAACCTTGGACCGGTTTAGCAGTGAGGAATTTCTCTTTGAAGGAGAAATTCAAACAGAGATCGACACCGAAAGGAATCATTCGCGGGAACACTTCAGTTCGGGTCAAGGCTTCAAAACCCGGACAATAACACGCCTGCGGGGTAGGAAGGGTTAACGCCGCTAATTTAATCCCAGTCGTATACTTACTGACGTTGCCACTTCTTAATCAGCACATTTTACTCATTTAAAAAACATAATAGCACTGTGCAGATTGAAAGCTCATTTACAACCAGCTCCTGTCCAGCTGGCAACAACATCAACAACAAACACTTATCCAGTGTCCTTCACGTTCTATAATAATAATAATCCTTGCATTTGATATAGCGCTTTTCACGTCGGGAGGACGTCCAAAGCGCTTCACAGAACACACTGTAAAGTGAATTGACTGTATATTTGTGGGCGAACGCGGCAGCCAATTGCGCACAGCAATGTCCCACAAACAGTCGTGGATTGAAAATGACCAATTTATTATCATTTTTTTGGTTTTGGAGGGATTATTATTAGGCTCTGTGTGGAGTAAGGAAACTTGCCCAAGGTTTAGCCCTCTGCCTGGAATTGAACTCACGTCTCTCGCTTGCAAAGCGAGTGCTCTAACCACTGAGCTACAGGACTCCACTCCATTCTAATAGGATAATGGAATTATAGAAAGTGACTTCAGTAGAGGACTGGTCAACCTTTCGTGTCTGTGCCTCTCTTTCAAATTGTAATTTCAAATTGTAATCCATTCAAGGGTGGCAGGTGGAGATTCCTGGCCAGGACACTGGGAGCGAAACTCCCTTCTCTTTGCGGATATCTCCACGGGATCTTTAACACCCACTAAACAGGACACAGTTTAACGTCTCATCCGCAGGACGGGGAGTAGATGTTGCAAGACCCACTAAGCCGTACGGCTCCGTCTGACAGCAGAAGTCGAAACACTTTCCCTTCGATTCGCTTCTTGGCTTTGGCAAAATGTTGGGAGTGTCTAAAAGTCTGTATTTTTTCCTTAAAATGGTTTCTCTCCGCACACAGCGCCCCTTCCCCCTCTCATCACCAAACGTCTGGCAGCAGAATTGAGTGTGTTTTTTTGGAGGCAATAAGGCAACGTTTGCTTTGCAAACACTCAATTTCCAGTTCTGCGGAAGAAATTTAATATTCAGAGCGCAGTGCAAATTGTGACAGGGATATAATGAAAAATCCAAGGCATTTTATATTGTTTCCACAATGTTACTTTATCAACGTTCAACAGCACAGCACCTTTCACTGCCCTGAATTCATTGTGTATTGCCATCGTGTTTTGCTTTGAAATAGCGAGTAACTGTTCAGTGCAATCATAATGATGCAGTGTTGTTCTAGGGTTGTTTTTTTTTAACCGCCCCCGGCTTAATTTTCCCTGAAACCTATTTTAAGCGAGGAGGAATGTTGAAGGCATGAACTTTCACATCACTGGAATGTCGCGGGAGCTGACATTTAATTTGAACCAAAGTTTCGTTCAGGGTGACATCAATTTGCCACCGTATCTTGCCTCGAGGTTTTGTTAGCGAGTCAAATTTCACCCCTATCACGAAACATTAGACTCTCGCAAGTGCACAATCCATTGTTCCTCTTCCTTGTTTCAGATAGTATTAATATCAGCTGTCGTATCAGCTCACCTCAATTTGTTGGCATCCTAAAGGTTATAGGTTCCCCCCCATCCCCCCGAGCACACACACACAATCAGAACTTGCGCTCACAAACTAAATAAACAGTCAATTCACTTTACAGTGTGTTCTGTGAAGCTCTTTGGGACGTCCTCCCGACGTGAAAAGCGCTGTATCAAATGCAAGGATTATTATTATTATTATTATTACACTGACGCTCCAGTGAAACAACAACAACAAGAAGATTACATTTGTATAGCGCATTTCATGTCGGGAGGACATCCCAAGGCAGTGTACAGCATTTCAGACCCGAGCTGAGGTCACCGGGAGAGAAGGGAAGTGACCGATGGCATGGTCGAAGAGGAGGGTTTTGAGGTGGGACTTGAAGGAGGCTAAGGAGGATAACATTTACATTTACAAATTACATTTACACTGCACCTTTCACGTTGAGAGGATGCCCAAGGATTTGTACCTGAGCTGGAGGGCGTCGGGCAGGGAATGTGGGGGTAAGAGGGTGACCGAAGGTTTGAGATGGACCTTGAAGGAGGCGAGGGAGGAGGTGAAGTGGAGGAGTTCCGGGATGGAGTTCCAGAGAGTGGGGGAAGAAAGGCTGAAGGCTCGACTGCTGATGATGGGGAGGTCTTCTGATAAGAAGGGAAACTGAGATTCAGGCTCAGTTGTCAGATGTTTGAAAAGAGTATTCTATTTTGTAGACGAACCCAGCAATCAATCTGAGCACAGCGATGTCCTCATGAACAGCTGGGAAATGAACGACTGATTTTTATTTGGGGGATTGTTGGCCAGGAAACTGGAGAGAGAGAAACTTTATCGAATAGCGACGCGGGTTAATAATAATAATAATACTCCTTGCATTTGATATAAGAGTCCTGTAGCTCAGTGGTTAGAGCACTCGCTTTGCAAGTGAGAGACGTGAGTTCAATTCCAGGCAGAGGGCGAAACCTTGGGCAAGTTTCCTTACTCCACACAGAGCCTAATAATAATCCCTCCAAAACCAAAAACAATAATAAATTGGTCATTTTCAATCCACGACTGTTTGTGGGACATTGCTGTGCGTAATTGGCTGCCGCGTTTGCCCACAAATATACAGTCAATTCACTTTACAGTGTGTTCTGTGAAGCGCTTTGGGACATCTAGAAGACGTGAAAAGCGCTATATGAAATGCAAGGATTATTATTATTATTATTATAGTGCCTTTCACATCTTCTAGACGTCTCAAAGCGCTTCACAGAATAGACTGTGAAGTGAATATTTGTGGGCGAAACGCGGCAGCCAATTGCGCACAGCAGCGTCCCCACAAACATCGTGGATTGAAGTGACCAATTTATCATTGTTTTTTTCTTGAGGGATTATTATCAGGCGTGTGTGTGGAGTAAAGAAACTTGCCCAAGGTTTCGCCCTGCCGGCAATCGAACCCAGGTCTCTCGCTTGCAAAGCAAGTGCTCTAACCGCTGAGCTACAGGACTCCACAGTTATTTAAGATGGGGAGCTCATTTCAACATCTCATTCAAAGGATGGTGCCTCTGACAATGTAGCACTCCCTCTCGCTCCTCTCCACTCCCTCCCCATTGCTCTCCCCCTACCCCCCCACCACGCCCCTGAGACTGTGTGAGCTCAAATCCCCCCGGTTGGAACCCACAGCCTTCTGACTCAGAGGCGAGAGCAGCTACCCACTGAACCAGGGCTGAGCGGACCAAGCAATGGTGTAAGGATGATCGCAAATTGACTTCCTTTTACTGAATCAGCCCCGAATGGGTTGATAGATTGGCCTACCTCAAGGTGGTTACAATGCCTTCATTATTTCAACAGCGTTGCTTGGATATAATTGATGGTTGACCCCTGAGAGAAAAGGGCAGAGTAACTCCAGCGGACGCAGAGCAAGCCGCGTCAACACTAACGGGAAAACGCCCGGTCGCTCAGCCTTGCAAAATGTGTCCGCATCAGCGTTCGCAGCAGGTTCCCCTTCACGAGTCTGACTGGCAATGCAAACATGCCCCCGGTGGTAAGGTTTTTGAACAGGACCCGCCACTGTCAGCAGTAATGAGCCTCACATCCCATTCAGAGCCTCTCGCTTCTCGAAGCACTTCACGGATATTCACTGTGAAACGGAGAAGTCTGCAGGAAAAACCCCGCCAGGCGCTTTTTGAGACGTCCTCCCGACGCGAAAGGCGCTGTGTGAAATAGCAATGATAATCCTTGCGTTTGATACAGCGCCTTATCACGTCGTGGAGACGTCTCAAAGCGCTTCACCTGTTCACGCAGATTGACTTTGTATGTTGTGAGCGAAAACGCACACAGCAGCAGCGTCCCACAAACAGTCGTTCTTTTCAACGTGTCATTTTTTTTTAAGGCGGAAGCGTTAGGATTACTGTCGACTGGGTGTCTTTGCAGGCAAACGCGAAGCTGGGTTAAGGTCACGGAGGTTGGCATATATCTGCTGATTCCCAATTACGGCCTGCTTGCCTGTGTTTTCTCCCTTCCCTGCGAATATCTATCTTTTTTTTCGAAAAAAAACCTCCTTCACTTAGAGCCTGAAGTTAATGTGCTGTAGCAAAGCTGCATTCAGCCACTGATTTCTCTTCACTGGAGATGGTGGCTGGCCCATGACTAATGACTTACTGCTAGATGGTCAAGCTTCATTTTAGTTAATGAGGTTACACAGCGAGCTGAACGGCAGAACGCTATTCTATCAGAAAACT